TAATGACAAATACTAGGTGTGTGTAGGAACTGAGAGAAAATATACTAGGTGACTTGAGGGAGCTGTAATGACAAATACTAGGTGTGTGTATGAACTGAGGGAAATATACTTGGTGACTTGAGACAGCTACAATGACAAATACTAGGTGTGTGTAGGAACTGAGGGAAATATACTTGCTGACTTGAGGGAGCTACAATGACAAATACTAGATGACTTGAGACTGCTACAACGACATATTTTGGTGACTTAGGGGACATCATGACATACACAGAAGAGCATATTTGCTCTATTAGAAGCAGATGCTCTTAGCTAATATAAAGAGGTGTCTAATATCAAAGAACTATAATTAATATTTTAATAATTCAGTATTAGCAAACACAATTTTTTATTTATATACACTTCTATTGGGGAGGCACTCTAATAATAATACATTTGATATACTTTGACTTGGTAATACCATTTATTTTATTGAACACTGGGTGGCGCTATATTCATTTAAGTCTGTTTTCATTGATTGTTTTTGGAACTTAAAAATAATTTATATACTGCTTTATTTTCGAGAGAAATAGTGGTAATATGAAAGCAAAATTATTCCTGTGAAATGTGTGTATATTTGTCAGTATGGGTAACATAGACCTTTAAAAATAAAATCTTAATGCATACATATGTGCTTTGTATCAGTAAGTTGTCTGGCATATATCAAAATTCCTCACTGTGCAAGCCAATGTACCGTAACTCAATGTATGGAATTTTTACGTACCTCCAACCACCAGCCTCACTTGGCTGTTGGGGATGTCTTGGATCAAACCTCCCAGCAAGGATAATCTAGTCCGGGAATAATGAAATCAATTATATTACATAAACATTCAATGGAATAAACACTTGAAAGAAAGGTTACATTGTTAAAATAGATGTTTCTAGTTACTCTGTGAACAGTTTATATGATGTATCTTACCTCACTTAGCAGCGCCTGTGAGGCTTGATTGCCAATGCAATGATAATCTGTAGATATTGACCCTGTAGATGAATTAGGAATTAAAGTTAGATTTACAATTGTAACACATGGCATACAGTTAGAAACATGTTTTATTTCAGTCAGTAGGTTACTTCAGTAAAGGAGATGCTTACCAACAGGTCTAGGCACTATCCTTGTTTCCAATGTTGTAGATGATACACTACTTGGTGAGCTGGTCACTCTGGCTGCTTGTTGAGTTATGCTAATGCTGGACAAATCCCTTTCTGGTGGTTCATGTCTGTACAGTGACGATGGTGTGGTTGGAGTTTCAAGTCTGGATAGATTTGAAAAAGACAAAATTTAGCAAATTTTAAAATATATCATACATAGCTATCTGTAATTAGTCAGTGACTGTAATTGCCTGCACCTATCAAGGCAAATATTTTAAGAAAAGTTTGCGGGGGAAGAGAACAAAATATACAGTTTCACTTCAAAAATCAGTCTCTAAGAAAAGTTATATCAGTCAAAACTATTACCTATGCACTCAATTTTGAAGAACCCAATTCGACAACTGAAATAAGTTTGTAAAATTCATTCAAGTAGAACATACTTAAACTTAGGGGGGCACTGCTTTTTGTTGATGACTAGGGAATCATTAAAAGGCTCTACTCCTTATATTAATATTGTTATCTGGCATATCCAACACTGTGAATAACCTGTGGTTAACAAAATCATTATTTTTTTTAAGAACAACTGAATATGTAGAATAGTCATACCTGAACATTCTATCAGTGGATCTTCTCACGGATCTGCTAGGACTTCTGCCCCGGCAACTTGATGATGATGCCGTGGATGTAGTAGAAGATAGGGCTGCTCTAACTTGACTCCTTCCTCGGAATAAAGACAAATCTAGTTCTTCACTGTCCGCTGATGAGGCTTGACTGCTCCTCTGACTGAATTTTTTCCAGGGTGCAGCAGACCTGCCAGTTGAAGATGGTTGTCTCCCTGATGCACTACCAATACTTTTAGAGAGAGCCAGTATCTTGGAAGATAGTGATGGTTTTTTAGCTTCTGAACCATTACCATTAGTTTCTTCCTGTATGGGAGAGGTTCTAGAGACCATGGACAGATGTCTTCTTTGTGGACTTTCACCCCTAACTCTTGGGGAACAGCTTGCAGTAGTGCTTGATGAAGTATGTGACTGCTGCGGTTGACTTCTGACACTGCTTTGCACATTCATAGCTTGACATAGTTCATCAAAGTTCTGAGAATCATCAAATTCCATTTCACTCTCTGAGTGGGATCCCTGACTGTAAGTTTCTCGAAGGTGTAATATTTCCCTTTCAACAGCATCCTGTGTAGAAGTAGAAAAATCAAAAGGTTCAATGGTTTATTGTCATTCTCTGTAAAATTCCAGGTAACATTGAAAATAAAAATAGGGTACACATTAGTAGTAATGAATAACTTTTTATTTGTCATATTTTTTATTTTATTTAATCTTGCAATTGTTGCCCACATATTGGTCAATGCTTTTTGCAGTATGTGAGTGAGCTTTCATGTGTTTGGTTCACAGTTTGGTTATAAAAAAAACACATAAAATGATTTTAGCATGCACAATTTAGGCATGGTCAGCCTTAGTTACTATTTTGATATCATATACGCAGAAATAGGGAAAAAAACTCACCAAAATTGGTTGAAGTTGTCCATCTTGGTTAATATCAGAATGCCCCCTTTCAGGTGATCTTCCTGTTCTTGGGCTATATAGCTCATATGCTCTTCCATAATCTCGGGCTGAATTAGCTGGTCTATTTGGTGATATACGTCTTGTAAATGCATCATGTCTTCTTTGAGGAGACATACTTCTGGCACGTCCAGTACCACTTACTCTTGGAATAGATTCGACTGAAGTATGGCTACTAAGAGGTCTGGCTAGTGTTTCTGAAGATCGCCACCTTCCAGAAACAGCAGGAAATCTTGGTGAGATTTGTGGTGACAGATATTCATGTAAGGAGTCGGTTGAGCTCCAACTTCTAGAACTAAGATTCTCAAAGGAGTGGGATTGCAGTCTTTCATCACTGGATGTTCTATGCAAACTGTTTCTCTGTGGCAGACATGGAGTTGAAAATGTGTTATGTTTAGATTTACGTCTATCTGCTGATTGACTTCTCTTGCTCTTGAACTTGTCTCTTAGCTCTGATGGTTTCCACTGTCCAGATGATGAAGTTCTCGAGTCAGGTGTCCTGCTTCTTGATGATAAACTAGGAGATATATTTCTTGTCCTATCAGTGTAAGATTGTGCACGTCTTCCAGGTGATGTACTGCGGGGTCTAGCAGGTGATTCACTCTGGGCTCTTTCGCCATACAAAATATTGTGTTTTTCTTTTCTAATCTCTTCCTTGGCTTTTTCAGCAAACTGTTTCCTACGCATCTCAACCAATCTAAGTTGATCAATCTCATCCTTCATTTTCTTTTTCTCCTTTTTGGTTCTTTCTTTCAGGGTTTCTCTGGCCTTTGCTATTTCTCTTTTTGATTGTTCCCTTACATCTTTGTACTCTCGAAGTAGTTTGTCAATATCTGAATGACTACCACTGCCACCCTGAACACCAGAATCAGGGACTCCTGTTTGCTGGAAATGTGTTCTCCTTTGATCTAGTAGCTGATTAACAGAACGAGATGCTCTGTTTCTTGTCCGTGAGGTTCTGTTAACATTTTCAGAAGATGAGATATTAATTTCTCTATTTATGTTCTCTCTTTCCTCCAAGAATATTTCAATCTGTGTTCGTCTTCTAGCCTGGATTCGTCTTCTTAAAGCATCTGCCAGTCCGGATGTTGGTATATCATCTTCCAATGCTTTAAGTAGTGCATCAGTCTCACCAATTCCATGCATTAAATCGGCCTCCATTAATTGTACTGTTAAATCATTCCTATCATAATTGAGATTAAGCCACTGGAGTAGTGAATCCCTGTCCTGCATTACAGCATTTAACTCAGTGGATGATAGATTACTCATAGCAGCATCTGTCCCAACCCCCTCATCTTTCATTTCATATTGTGAACCATCTGTTTGGGTGTATGTATCAGTAGGTGATCTATCTAATTCGTCCACATTGTCTTCTTCACCACTGAGTGTATGTAATATTTCCTCAAAATGTTGTTGCATGGTGTCGAGCTCATTTTCTGTCTTAGACAAACTTGATTCATCTGTAAGGCTTGACTCATCTTTTGTTGGTATATATGTCTGGGTGTCACATGTCTTGGTACTAAAATTTCTAGGCAGAACACCATCCTTCAACAAATTGCGTGTCCTTGTTAAAATACTTGGAATAGCCTCACCTTCTTTCAAGAATACAATTGTGAAGGAGTCTGCACTTTCACTTCCTGACTGATCTTCTTCTACAGAAGAGTGTTGCTCTCTATTAACAATTCGGTCAATGTGTACATTAACCTCCCGGTCACTGAGTGTTCTAACATGTTGCTCATCAATTTTACTCGTTCGCTCTTCACATGGTGTTGGGTAGATTTCACGATTTTGATCAGATGAGGAGGTGCTTAAACTGTAATCAACATCAGGTGAAGCTGATTCTTTACTTATACTGCTCTCTTCAAAGTCATCCTTTGGTAGCTGGAATCTTGGTTTACGTTGAGGACTAGCAGACTTTTGTATTATTCCCCTCATTCTATTGTACTCCTCTCTCATTGGATCCAATATGTCACTATCATTAACAGAAACAGGACTAAACATATCATATGTGTCTGTGCTGTGGTCATCAGTGTGGATAGGTGAAGTTGAGGTACCCTTCACCTCTTTTGAATCTAATTTGGAACTGCAATGTCCTGCATGCTGATCAGGCTCACTCTCTGTGGCAATTGGAGGTGTTTCTCTTTCAACAGTGAGTACATAGTTGTCTACTGTAACAGGTGAGAGAGATAATGCCCTCAATCTATATGAGTTTACATCCTCATCATCTGAGATATAAAGTGTATCCTGGCCTCCTGCTTCTTCATATGTCTTTGGCCTTGGTTCTGATTCCATTGGGGTACTAGCATTGATTGCTACAATATCATCTTGCAAGTATTTGATATCAGCAGTTAAATCACTGGAATCATTAGTTGTCGGAGGTGTGTCATCTTCTAGATCACCTATAAGTGCAACTAATTCAGGGTGAGTTGTATCAAGTTCATCAGTGTCTTCAAACTCATCCTCATCATCTTCATCAGTGGACAAGTCAGCTATCATACTATCAATGTTTTGTTGAGCTTCTATTAGGGCCCTGAGATCTTCATCATCTTCAATATCAAGGTCAAGTGACACATCCGAGAAGGCGGGAAGAAGAAAACCAGAGCCAGTATCCCCATTAACAATTTCCTCATTAATTGTTGGTAACTCTCCACTTTTTGTAACATCTTCTGTTTTGTTATTTTTATCTATTTCTTTAGATTTGGGTGGTATTTTTGAATCTGCATTCACATCGAAATCTACTTGATGGCTTGGTGTAACATCACCTTGTTTCTTGATGTTTAGCAAGAATTCCCTGAAAGCATCATTCATTTGTATTGGAGATAAATCCTCAACATTACATTGAGCTGGCTTATCATGCTCTTTTTCAGGGATGATGGTCTCAATCAAATGTCTTCCATTGTCAATTTCTTCTGGGGGATTTGGTTCTGCATGGCCTGTACTAGATTTATCGTGAACAGAGTCTTCTGG